GTTAACACTAAATCTAAAATATTATTTTCCCGCGTTGGTTCCTTAATGTGTTGCGTAAGATAGCAATCGTCAATTAATTCTAGAAAATCTTCTGCTTCATTATTTCCTGTTCTGTTGAACCAATTTATTACACTAAAATTTAAGTCACCCATGACACAAATACTGCTAGACTTTGGTGCTCTAGATATTTCATCCCACAGGTGCTTTGCTTCCACCCTGTCTACGTTTGGTGGCCTGTATATAACTCCTATTATAAGTTTATTTGCTTTTTCGTTTAATTCTATCCAAATAGTTTCTGTGTGTGGCTCAGTTTTGATTCCCTCTTTGGGACAAGATTTCAAATTTTCCCTAATATATATGGCTACTCCCCCTCCTCGTCTAATATATCTTTCTGTGTAAAATAGTTTAAATCCATTTATTTGATATTCAGCTAATAGTTCTCTATTTTCTATATTCATCCACGTTTCGGTAAGTGCAATAATATCTATTTTCTCTGTCCAGACAAGAGCAATTAAATCGTTGATTTTGTTTCTTAGACTTCTACTGTTAGTGTAATATACCCTAAGTGTATTGTTATATTGAGGCCCTTCTCGTTCCCAGATCATTTTGCCAATTTGTTTCTCCCACACCCATATACATGTATTGCCTCCTTTCTCTATATCAATTCCCATACGACTATCTACTAACAGTTTAAACCCAAACCCAAACAAACGCCTCCAACCACTGGTTCCAACGAGTTCGCAACAACAACCCCAGCCCTCGATAGATGCACCCCTTCACAAGCATACATTTCATTTCTCCCATAGAAGTGTTCCCAGTTATTGATGAAAGATATTGCATGTGATTTACAATATCTTTCAAGCCGGCAATTGACACCTAGTGCCCAACTTACCATAATGGTACGTTCCTCTTTGGTAAATGCAGAGATAAAATATTTATTTAAAATACTACGTATCTCTTTGTCATTATCAATTATCTGACATGTCTCAGTTTTTAATGGACCTTTTCTTTCCCTAATCTTTGTTTGATATAACTGAAAAAACAACTTTAGGATTTGTCATGAAATCCCCGTTACCGAACCAGTATTTACCCAGGTCTTTCCTAAATCTGAACTTATCCAATTCATACCCATTGTCTCGTGTTCTGTCTTTTGTTGATACTTTTAATACCCTATTAATATCCGCTTTGTTATGCCCATTTCATTTAATTGTAAACCTCTATCATGTCACTCCTAAGTCTTCACCCTTCTAGAGAATGTAATTTAAGCTGTAATTAAATCTTTCTTCATATGACAGGATTAACTTTGTCATCCTATGCAGGACGCATTCTAGTGAATTTATATCCATTCTATAGTACGGCGACCAAAACTGAACTGCATAATCTAAATGGGGCCTAACCAGAGCAAGATATAACTGAAGAACAACACCAGATGTCTTGTTACTAACGCTTCGATTAATAAATCCCAGTGTTCTATTTGCCGTATTACGAATATTTATGCATTGTTTTTTTGTTTTAAATTCTTATTAATCATAACTCCCAGATCTCTTTCGCAATCCGACTTTGCAATCTAGCTTGTATCATGTAACTCTATCTTCTTGAGGTTACCTTGAAATGATTTTGGGGCTTAGTGTCCCCGCGGCCCGGTCCTCGACCAGGCCTCCTTTATGTTACACACACCTCCCCCCACATAGGAAGCAACCCGTAGCAGCTGTCTAACTCCCAGGTCCCTATTTACTGCTAGGTAACATGAGCATCAAAGTGAAAGAAATATTTTGCCCATTTGACTCCGCCGCCACCGGGATCGAACCCGGAACCTCAGGACTACGAATCCGAAGCACTGTTCACCCAGCTGTCAGGGCCCTATATTGCCATATATTCCAAAAATTGCCATGTCCAAATCCAACTTAATATAGCACCCCCAATACCATGAGCCAGTCTTTTTAATCAGTCTTTCATGTGGCACTGTATCAAATGCTTTGCTAAAGTCAAGATACACAACATCACAAACCTTATCACTATGAACTGCCTCAACTATGCTGGAATAAAATGATAACGAATTTGTTAAACATGAACGGTCATTTGTAAAACCATCTTGTGAATCATTTATCAATTTATGTTTTTCAAGATGAAAATGAATGGTATTTTCAATAATAGATTCAAGTAATTTTCCCACAATAGACGGTTAGCTAGTTGCCCGATAGTTTGACGCAAGTGATCTATCTTCTTTCTTGAAAATCGGTACCACATTAGCAACGTTCCACGACTCGGGCACTCTGCCTGGCACTAATGGTTTGTTAAATATGTAAACAATGGCTCGCAAAGCTCCTCTTTGCATTATTTAAGCACCATTGCAAACACTTCGTCTGGCCCTGGGGATTTCTTCTACTTGAGTTTCGCTATTTGTTTAATAACATCTTCCCTGATAACAGCTAAATTAGTCAACCTATCCTCTTCTCCACCCACATAGACTTGTTTGTCTGAAGGAAAAATGTTAAGTTCCTCTTTAATAAATATAGAGATAAAATATGTATTAAAACTGCTACTCTTCTCTTTGTCATTGTCAGTTATCTGACCTGTCTCAGTTTTTAATGGGCCAATCCTTTCCCTAATCCTTGTTCAATATAACTGAAAAACACCTTTAGGATTTGTCTTTGCTTGCCCTGCTATGCGAACTTCATAGTCTCTTTTTGCCCTCTTTATATTTTTTTAACATTTCTAACCAGTTGTATGAATTCTTGTTCTAAACTGACTTCCGAATTCCTAATCCTTTTGTACCAAGCTCTCCTTCTACCTGTAAGGTTCTTCAGATCCATTGTTATTCATTTCGGGTCATTAGTATTCGATCGATTCAATTTGCATGGTATACTACGTTCCTGTGCTTTGCTTAGAATATTTTTAAATAAGTCATATTTTGAATTCACATCGAAATTCATTCTTACATCACCCATCGCTTGGTTCATGTCTCGCTCGAAGTCCGCCCCTCCCCCCTCCCTATGCCCTGGACTTTCCAATCTATTTCACCCAAAAAATGTCTTAGGCCATTAAAATCAGCTTTTCGAAATTCTTGCACTTTAACAGAATTTTCTCCTGCAAATCTATTACATTCTATGCTAAATCTAATTTCTTTATTATTACTATTCCCTATTTCGATGTCATTAATTTGTGTTTCCTTGTTAGTTAACACTAAGTCTAAAATATTATTTTCCTGCGTTGGTTTTTAATGTGTTGCGTACGAAAGCAATCGTCAGTTAATTCTAGAAAATCTTCTGCTTCATTATTCCCTGTTCTGTTAAACCAGTTTACCACTGATATTAAAGTCTCCAATGACACAAATACTGTTAGACCTAAATGCTCTAGATATTTCATCCCATAGATGCTTTTCTTCCATTCTGTCTAAGTTTTGTGGCCTGTATATAGCTCCCCTTAAAAGATTTTTAGCTTTTTCGTTTAATTCTAGCTAAATAGATTCTTTGTGGCTAACTTTAATTCCCTTTTTGAAACTACATTTTAAATTTTCCATAACAAGTTGGCAACAGCAACAGCCCCAGCCCTAGATAAATGGACCCCATCTAGAGCATACATGTCATTCCTTCCATAGAATTGGTCCCAGTTATCAATGAATAATATTGAATTTGATTTACAATATTTGTCCAGTAGATAACTAACACCAAGTGCCCTCGACAACCATTCATTTCCAACTCACTTTCTTCGAAGAGTGCCACATATGACCGAGATTCCTCCCTTGCTCCTAACTAATTCTAAGACTGTCTTCAACCTCTGTATCAGTGTCTCACTCCTAACTCGTTCTACATCTACAACTCGTTTAGCAGTCTCCGTGGTGTAGTGGTAAGACACTCGCCTGGCGTTCCGCGAGCGCTATGTCATGGGTTCGTATCCTGGCCGGGGAGGATTTACTGGGCGCAATTCCTTAACTGTAGCCTCTGTTTAACGCAACAGTAAAATGTGTACTTGGATGAAAAAACGATTCTTCGCGGCGGGGATCGTATTCCAGGGACTTGCCCGAAACGCTACGCGTACTAGTAGCTGTACAAGAATGTAACAACTCTTGTATATATCTCAAAAAAATAAAACACAAAAAAAAACATGATTTTCACCGGTACTGGTACAAATAATGTGTTTGTTCCGATTTCCAGCTATAATATCATTCATGTTGTTTACAAGACCCTTAATTTCTGCTTCAGGATTGCAATCCCTTAACCTGTTCCCACTATTCCTGGCACAAAACGCCCTATCCAAATACCTCACCTGGGAGTCACCAACAACCAAAATTCGTTTAGCTACTTCCTTGATAGGCGGTCCTTTCGTTGCCTTGTCTTGGGTGAACTGCAGTCTCCCTACATCACTCGTCTTCCAGCACGACGAATGATTTGTAGGGCTTTAGGATAACTGTATGCGGCCATGTCTGAGTCTTCTTAAGTCCCCTGTCCTTTACGATATTCCAAGGCGAAGAATTTCTGATATTGCTCTCCTCCTTCGCTTCCTTATGAGGGTAGACACGCCGTTACCAACTCTGTCCTCAGAGCACCTCATAGATCCATAAGTTCCCTCACTACACCTTCCATTATTATTATGAAAGCGCAATCGGAGTTCCATGTAACACACCCTCTCACTGTGGTTGCCTGCGTCTGACTGAATTCCCCTCTTTGATCCTTGTATCCTCTCTTTGATCCTTATACCCCCCATCTCTCATATCCTGATATCCCCCCACTCATTCTTACTCTTTACCTTATTTATCCCTCTATACACCTCGCTGTCTTTCCTTCCCTCTAAATATTTAATTTAAGTGAATAAATATTACCCTAGCATTGTAACCTACTGTCTCAACCCATCCTTCCACAACACCAACATGGAATATTGAGTGTATTTACCACATCACCCCCCCCCCCAGCTGTGATGGGTGGTGTGATGTGGTACCCACACACCACCCAGCTCACACATGTGCAAGCCGCCACCCACAATAACCCAGTGACCCTGAACAGGGAGACGGACGAGTGGCGGCTGTGCTGCCTGGCCCGGCACGTCGAGAAATGCCTGCCGGTCGCTGACGAGTTCTCCTCGTGCGAGGACCTCATGTCCAACCTGGTCCTGCGGGTGTGTATCTGGATCCTCGGCTTCGTGGCTCTCCTCGGCAACTCCTTCGTCATCATCTGGAGGAGCGTGTACTCCAGCGGCAACAAGGTGAGGAGCATGTACTACAGCGGCAACAAGGTGAGGAGCATGTACTACAGCAGCAACAAGGTGAGGAGCATGTACTCCAGCGGCAACAAGGTGAGGAGCATGTACTCCAGCGGCAACAAGGTGAGGAGCATGTACTACAGCAGCAACAAGGTGAGGAGCATGTACTCCAGCGGCAACAAGGTGAGGAGCATGTATTACAGCGGCAACAAGGTGAGGAGCATGTACTACAGCAGCAACAAGGTGAGGAGCATGTACTCCAGCGGCAACAAGGTGACGAGCGTGTACTCCAGCGGCAACAAGGTGAGGAGCATGTACTCCAGCGGCAACAAGGTGAGGAGCATGTACTACAGCAGCAACAAGGTGAGGAGCATGTACTCCAGCGGCAACAAGGTGAGGAGCATGTACTACAGCGGCAACAAGGTGAGGAGCAGCGGCAACAAGGTGAGGAGCATGTTCTCTAGCGTCAACAAGGTGAGGAGCATGTTCTCCAGCGTCAACAAGGTGAGGAGCATGTTCTCCAGCGTCAACAAGGTGAGGAGCATGTTCTCCAGCGTCAACAAGGTGAGGAGCATGTTCTCCAGCGTCAACAAGGTGAGGAGCATGTTCTCCAGCGTCAACAAGGTGAGGAGCAGCGGCAACAAGGTGAGGAGCATGTACTACAGTGGCAACAAGGTGAGGCGCAGCGGCAACAAGGTGAGGAGCATGTTCTCCAGCGTCAACAAGGTGACGAGCGTGTACTACAGCGTCAACAAGGTGAGGAGCGTGTACTACAGCGTCAACAAGGTGAGGAGCATGTACTACAGCGGCAACAAGGTGAGGAGCAGCGGCAACAAGGTGAGGAGCGTGTACTACAGCGTCAACAAGGTGAGGAGCATGTTCTCCAGCGTCAACAAGGTGAGGAGCATGTTTTCCAGCGTCAACAAGGTGAGGAGCATGTTTTCCAGCGTCAACAAGGTGAGGAGCATGTTCTCCAGCGGCAACAAGGTGAGGAGCGTGTACTACAGCGTCAACAAGGTGAGGAGCATGTTCTCCAGCGTCAACAAGGTGAGGAGCATGTTCTCCAGCGTCAACAAGGTGAGGAGCATGTTCTCCAGCGTCAACAAGGTGAGGAGCATGTTCTCCAGCGTCAACAAGGTGAGGAGCATGTTCTCCAGCGTCAACAAGGTGAGGAGCATGTTCTCCAGCGTCAACAAGGTGAGGAGCATGTTCTCCAGCGTCAACAAGGTGAGGAGCATGTTCTCCAGCGTCAACAAGGTGAGGAGCATGTTCTCCAGCGTCAACAAGGTGAGGAGCATGTTCTCCAGCGTCAACAAGGTGAGGAGCAGCGGCAACAAGGTGAGGAGCATGTACTACAGCGGCAACAAGGTGAGGCGCAGCGGCAACAAGGTGAGGAGCATGTTCTCCAGCGTCAACAAGGTGAGGAGCGTGTACTACAGCGTCAACAAGGTGAGGAGCGTGTACTACAGCGTCAACAAGGTGAGGAGCATGTACTACAGCGGCAACAAGGTGAGGAGCAGCGGCAACAAGGTGAGGAGCGTGTACTACAGCGTCAACAAGGTGAGGAGCATGTTCTCCAGCGTCAACAAGGTGAGGAGCATGTTTTCCAGCGTCAACAAGGTGAGGAGCATGTTTTCCAGCGTCAACAAGGTGAGGAGCATGTTCTCCAGCGGCAACAAGGTGAGGAGCGTGTACTACAGCGTCAACAAGGTGAGGAGCATGTTCTCCAGCGTCAACAAGGTGAGGAGCATGTTCTCCAGCGTCAACAAGGTGAGGAGCATGTTCTCCAGCGTCAACAAGGTGAGGAGCATGTTCTCCAGCGTCAACAAGGTGAGGAGCATGTTCTCCAGCGTCAACAAGGTGAGAAGCATGTTCTCCAGCGTCAACAAGGTGAGGAGCAGCGGCAACAAGGTGAGGAGCATGTACTACAGCGGCAACAAGGTGAGGAGCATGTTCTCCAGCGTCAACAAGGTGATGAGCATGTTTTCCAGCGTCAACAAGGTGAGGAGCAGCGGCAACAAGGTGAGGAGCATGTACTACAGCGGCAACAAGGTGAGGAGCAGCGGCAACAAGATGAGGAGCATATTCTCCAGCGTCAACAAGGTGAGGAGCGTGTACTACAGCGTCAACTAGGTGAGGAGCATGTTCTCCAGCGTCAACAAGGTGAGGAGCATGTTCTCCAGCGTCAACAAGGTGAGGAGCATGTTCTCCAGCGTCAACAAGGTGAGGAGCAGCGGCAACAAGGTGAGGAGCATGTACTACAGCGGCAACAAGGTGAGGAGCAGCGGCAACAAGATGAGGAGCATATTCTCCAGCGTCAACAAGGTGAGGAGCGTGTACTACAGCGTCAACAAGGTGAGGAGCGTGTACTACAGCGTCAACAAGGTGAGGAGCATGTACTACAGCGGCAACAAGGTGAGGAGCAGCGGCAACAAGGTGAGGAGCGTGTACTACAGCGTCAACAAGGTGAGGAGCATGTTCTCCAGCGTCAACAAGGTGAGGAGCATGTTCTCCAGCGTCAACAAGGTGAGGAGCATGTTCTCCAGCGTCAACAAGGTGAGGAGCATGTTCTCCAGCGTCAACAAGGTGAGGAGCAGCGGCAACAAGGTGAGGAGCATGTACTACAGCGGCAACAAGGTGAGGAGCAGCGGCAACAAGGTGAGGAGCATGTTCTCCAGCGTCAACAAGGTGAGGAGCATGTTCTCCAGCGTCAACAAGGTGAGGAGCATGTTCTCCAGCGTCAACAAGGTGAGGAGCATGTTCTCCAGCGTCAACAAGGTGAGGAGCATGTTCTCCAGCGTCAACAAGGTGAGGAGCATGTTCTCCAGCGTCAACAAGGTGAGGAGCATGTTCTCCAGCGTCAACAAGGTGAGGAGCATGTTCTCCAGCGTCAACAAGGTGAGGAGCATGTTCTCCAGCGTCAACAAGGTGAGGAGCAGCGGCAACAAGGTGAGGAGCATGTACTACAGTGGCAACAAGGTGAGGCGCAGCGGCAACAAGGTGAGGAGCATGTTCTCCAGCGTCAACAAGGTGAGGAGCGTGTACTACAGCGTCAACAAGGTGAGGAGCGTGTACTACAGCGTCAACAAGGTGAGGAGCATGTACTACAGCGGCAACAAGGTGAGGAGCAGCGGCAACAAGGTGAGGAGCGTGTACTACAGCGTCAACAAGGTGAGGAGCATGTTCTCCAGCGTCAACAAGGTGAGGAGCATGTTTTCCAGCGTCAACAAGGTGAGGAGCATGTTTTCCAGCGTCAACAAGGTGAGGAGCATGTTCTCCAGCGGCAACAAGGTGAGGAGCGTGTACTACAGCGTCAACAAGGTGAGGAGCATGTTCTCCAGCGTCAACAAGGTGAGGAGCATGTTCTCCAGCGTCAACAAGGTGAGGAGCATGTTCTCCAGCGTCAACAAGGTGAGGAGCATGTTCTCCAGCGTCAACAAGGTGAGGAGCATGTTCTCCAGCGTCAACAAGGTGAGGAGCATGTTCTCCAGCGTCAACAAGGTGAGGAGCATGTTCTCCAGCGTCAACAAGGTGAGGAGCATGTTCTCCAGCGTCAACAAGGTGAGGAGCATGTTCTCCAGCGTCAACAAGGTGAGTAGCATGTTCTCCAGCGTCAACAAGGTGAGGAGCATGTTCTCCAGCGTCAACAAGGTGAGGAGCATGTTCTCCAGCGTCAACAAGGTGAGGAGCATGTTCTCCAGCGTCAACAAGGTGAGGAGCATGTTCTCCAGCGTCAACAAGGTGAGGAGCATGTTCTCCAGCGTCAACAAGGTGAGGAGCATGTTCTCCAGCGTCAACAAGGTGAGAAGCATGTTCTCCAGCGTCAACAAGGTGAGGAGCAGCGGCAACAAGGTGAGGAGCATGTACTACAGCGGCAACAAGGTGAGGCGCAGCGGCAACAAGGTGAGGAGCATGTTCTCCAGCGTCAACAAGGTGAGGAGCGTGTACTACAGCGTCAACAAGGTGAGGAGCGTGTACTACAGCGTCAACAAGGTGAGGAGCATGTACTACAGCGGCAACAAGGTGAGGAGCAGCGGCAACAAGGTGAGGAGCGTGTACTACAGCGTCAACAAGGTGAGGAGCATGTTCTCCAGCGTCAACAAGGTGAGGAGCATGTTTTCCAGCGTCAACAAGGTGAGGAGCATGTTTTCCAGCGTCAACAAGGTGAGGAGCATGTTCTCCAGCGGCAACAAGGTGAGGAGCGTGTACTACAGCGTCAACAAGGTGAGGAGCATGTTCTCCAGCGTCAACAAGGTGAGGAGCATGTTCTCCAGCGTCAACAAGGTGAGGAGCATGTTCTCCAGCGTCAACAAGGTGAGGAGCATGTTCTCCAGCGTCAACAAGGTGAGGAGCATGTTCTCCAGCGTCAACAAGGTGAGAAGCATGTTCTCCAGCGTCAACAAGGTGAGGAGCAGCGGCAACAAGGTGAGGAGCATGTACTACAGCGGCAACAAGGTGAGGAGCATGTTATCCAGCGTCAACAAGGTGATGAGCATGTTTTCCAGCGTCAACAAGGTGAGGAGCATGTTCTCCAGCGTCAACAAGGTGAGGAGCATGTTCTCCAGCGTCAACAAGGTGAGGAGCATGTTCTCCAGCGTCAACAAGGTGAGGAGCAGCGGCAACAAGGTGAGGAGCATGTACTACAGCGGCAACAAGGTGAGGAGCAGCGGCAACAAGATGAGGAGCATGTTCTCCAGCGTCAACAAGGTGAGGAGCGTGTACTACAGCGTCAACAAGGTGAGGAGCGTGTACTACAGCGTCAACAAGGTGAGGAGCATGTACTACAGCGGCAACAAGGTGAGGAGCAGCGGCAACAAGGTGAGGAGCGTGTACTACAGCGTCAACAAGGTGAGGAGCATGTTCTCCAGCGTCAACAAGGTGAGGAGCATGTTCTCCAGCGTCAACAAGGTGAGGAGCATGTTCTCCAGCGTCAACAAGGTGAGGAGCATGTTCTCCAGCGTCAACAAGGTTTTGGAGCATGTTCTCCAGCGTCAACAAGGTGAGGAGCATGTTCTCCAGCGTCAACAAGGTGAGGAGCATGTTCTCGTGTGTAGTGGTGCAGTAATTCAATGTTACAAGGATATCGCAGCGCCAGGTGCGCGTATGTCAAATAGCACCGAAGTCAGTGTCACTCTGACCTGAAGCACAGTGCCCTGTACCCTGTGTCCTTTATGTTAAATGTTTAGGTAAAGCGAGGTAAACTTTGCAGCATTACGCAGAGAGCAGAAGTAATGTGCTGTTTAAACTCTGTCGGGTTATTTCAGCGAGTGAAAACGTCGAATGTGAACTGAATTTAAAATATTATTCACATACAATTGAAGAGGACTTTAAAAAGATGACTCACGTGGCGTAGTCGCCTTCTTAACGTAGTTAAACTCTGCTTCTGCCAGATGCACTCATTCCTCATCGTGAACCTGGGCGTGGGCGACCTCCTGATGGGGGTGTACCTGTTGATCGTGGCGGCGGTCGACCTCCAGTACCGCGGAGTCTATGCCGCCTATGAGCTCTCCTGGAGGACCTCTTCCCTCTGCCAGCTGGCTGGCTTCATCAGCACCTTCTCCTCCGAACTCTCCGTCTTCACTCTCACGGGTAGGTCCTCCTCCAGGGACGACCACACCATCTACACTCTTATGGGTAGGTCCTCCTTCATGGACTACAACACTATCGTCACTCTTACGGGTAGGTCCTCCTCCATGGAAGGTAATACCGTCATCACTCTCATAGGTAGGCCTCTAAATCCGAATAAGTACCTGGGAGTTAGACAGCTGCTACGGGCTGCTTCCTGGGGAAGTGTAGCAAAAAGGAGGCCTGATCGAGGACCGGGTCGCGGGGACGCTAAGCCCCGAAATCATCTCTTGATAACCTCAAGATAGGACACCCGTCTCGGTGAAAATATCTCTTTGTGCAGTAACTTTAGTTACTCTCACAGATATTTTATTTTATTAGGCTCCTTATCATAAGTTTACTAATAATACCTATGAGATAATCAAGTAGAGTCGCTCCCCTTACCACTGTGCTACCCTTGTACAAGTGTACCACCCTGGTACCACTGTGTCCCCCTAGTACCACTGTTCCACCCTAGTACCACTATATCACCCCCTGGTACCACTGTTCAACCCTGGTACCACTGTACCACCCTGGTACCACTGTACCACCCTGATACCACTGTTCAACCCTGGTACCACTGTACCACCCTGGTACCACTATATCATCCCTGGTACCACTGTACCACCCTGGTACCACTGTTCAACCCTGGTACCACTGTACCACCCTGGTACCACTGTACGACCCTGATACCACTGTTCAACCCTGGTACCACTGTACCACCCTGGTACCACAATATCACCCCTGGTACCACTGTACCACCCTGGTGCCACTGTACAACTCTGGTACCACTGTGCTACCCTGACATGATAGCAGGTCAGGGAGTGCACATCAATGTTCGAGTACATGAACTTGTACTCTGCCCCTATCTCCCCCCTTGAAGCTGACTCTCTTCTGTCCATTCTCAGTTTCTATTGATTCCACTGGAGTTGGGGTGCAAGGAATGTCTGGGATGGGTGAGCATAGGAAGGGGGACCTGGGGGGTCTGAGGTGTGAGGGGGGGGGCTGGGAGGATCTGGAATAGGGGGGCTAGGGGGGGTCCGACGTGATGCTGCTGAGGGGGTCCAGGGTTGGGGGGTTAGTTGGGGCATGGGATGGGGGAGCTGACGGGGTATGTGCTGGGAGGTCACGGGTTGGGGTATGCAGGGTAGACTGGGGTGGGTTGACAGGGAGGTAAGGGGTTGGGGAGGGGAGGGGGAGCCTGTGGAGGGGAGCCGGGAGGGAGGGGGGTGGGGTAGGAAGGAGAGTTTGGGGTGGGACAATTGGGAAGGGCTCAGGCTAGAGAAACAGGTAAGGGTATGGGGTGCAGGAACAGTGAGGATCAGGGGTAGGGGTTGGGGAAGAAAAAGGGCATGGAGGGACATGGGGGGGGTCTAGGGTCAGGGAACATGGGGACATGGTTTGAAGGGGGAATTTACTGTCTGGGGAGGTGCAGGTGATTGGTGGTGGATGGCTGAGGGGCCTCCTGGTGGGAGGCTTCTGTTACAATCCTCCCTGGAGGGTGCATGCCTGCCGGTGGGGGGATTCCCACTCCCCTCTGAGGTTCCTGGAGACACTGAGCTGAGTCCTGTGGCTCCCATATCCCCACCCCTTTCTCTGCGTCTCCTTACTTCTGCAGACTTTATTCTCTCCTCCCTCGTCATGTCCCTTTGCAGAAAGACGTCCTCGTATCCCCCTAACTTCACAAGTCTGCTCTTCCTGGATAGGATTTTTCTCCTTTGCTGCCTCGTTCGTGAGCACTACCTTTATCAATCGTTTCCTTTCCTTCTTGTAAAGGACCAACCTGAAAACCTTCTCTATTACACACAGAAATCACACTTGCATGATATATCAAATGATGCATCATGCAATTGTGTGAAAAAATTGTGTGAAACAGCTTCTTTATGTTGTCATTTGCCTCCTCCATATCCAGCCCCTCCAAGATCTCTGTCATAGTAGTTTGGTCCCTCCTTCTCCACTCCTCCCGATTGGATCTCTCTCTGGTTCCTGTACTCCTACAACTATAACTGTTCTTTTCCTTTCCAGCATATGTTCAGTGCATTTTGCAGCTTCCTTTGAGGTAGCTGCTCTCATAGCTGCTGCCTCTAAAGCGGCCTTGGCACTTGGGCTGTTTTGCAGTATTTCTGCAAAAGAGAGTCCCCCCCCCCTGGAAGGCGCCTTCCATCAGCTTTGTCCCCTGTTTCCAGGAGGTTACATACCCTTACTGGTTTGAATTCTGATTTTCCCTGATTCTCTTTATCTCCTCTCTGGCTTCCTCTAACTCACACCTTTAGCTCTGTATTAATGTTTGCATTTCCTGCAGGTCTCTGCCAAACCTCTCTGTCATGTCCTGCAGGTCTCTGCCAAACCTCTCTTTCATGTCTTGCAGGTCTCTGCTGAATCCCATTTTCATTTCTTGCAGGTCTCTGTTGAATCCCAATTGCATTGCCTGCAGGTCTCTGCCGAATTCCCCTAATGTCTGGTTGAGTCATTCAAAGGTAGTATCCACCATTCTCCCCTGTCTCTGTGTGTGGTGATGTCCCTCCATTTTCCCTGGCTGAAGGAAAAACGTCCTGGCTTTTTTTCGTGCGTGTGTTTGTATTTATGTGTAAGTGTGTTTGTTGCATGTGTGTGTTTGTGCATGTGCATAAAAGTGCGTGCGTGCGCGTGCATTCTATTATGCGTGGGAAACTGGGGGGGGAGGGGGGAGGAGATGTCACTTCAGGTCAGGTGGTCAGTTGGAGGGAGGGAGTAAGGGAGCTGGAGGGGGGGGGGTCCCACTGCATGGGAGGGGTTTGGGAGTAGTGAGGAGTAGTAATGTATGTACGTGAGTGTGTGTGTGTGTGTGTGAGTGTGCGTGTGTGTGTGTGTGTGTGTGTGTGTGTGTGTGTGTGTGTGTGTGTGTGTGTGTGTGTGTGTGTGTGTGTGTGTGTGTGTGTGTGTACTCACCTAGTTGTGTTTGCGGGGGTTGAGCACTGGCTCTTTGGTACCTCCTCTCAACCGTCAATCAACAGGTGTACAGATTCCTGAGCCTATTGGGCTCTATCATATCTACACTTCAAACTGTGTATGGAGTCAACCTCCACCACATCATCTCCTAATGCATTCCATTTGTCAACCCCTCTGACACAAAAAAAAGTTCTTTCTTATATCTCTTTGGCTCATTTGGGCACTCAGTTTCCACCTGTGTCCCCTAGTGCGTGTGCCCCTTGTGTTAAATAGCCTGTCTTTATCTACCCCATCAATTCCCTTGAGAATCTTGAATGTGGTGATCATGTCCCCACTAACTCTTCTGTCTTCCAACGAAGTGAGGTTTAATTCCCGTAGTCTCTCCTCGTAGCTCATACCTCTCAGCTCTGGTACTAGTCTGGTGGCAAACCTTTGAATCTTTTCCAGTTTAGTCTTATCCTTGACTAGATATGGACTCCATGCTGGGGCTGCATACTCCAGGATTGGTCTGACATATGTGGTATATAATGTTCTGAAAGATTCCTTACACAAGTTTCTAAATGCCGTTCTTATGTTAGCCAACCTGGCATATGCCGCTGATGGTATCCTCTTGATATGAGCTTCAGGGGACAGGTCTGGCGTGATATCAACCCCCAGGTTTTTCTCACTCTCTGACTCCTGAAGTATTTCGCCTCCCAAATGATACCTTGTATCTGGTCTCCTGCTTACTACCCCTATCTTCATTACATTACATTTGCTTGGGTTAAACTCTAACAACCATTTGTTCGACTATTCCTGCAGCTTGTCCAGGTCTTCTTGAAGCCCCAAGCTGTTCTCCTCTGTCTTAATCCTTCTCATAACTTTGGCGTCGCCAGCAAACATTGAGAAGAATGAGTCTATACCCTCTGGGAGATCATTTACGTATATCAGAAACAGGATAGGTCCGAGTACTGAGCCTTGTGGGACTCCACTGGTGACTTCACGCCAGTCGGAGGTCTCACCCCTCACTGTAACTCTCTGCTTCCGATTGCTTAGGTACTCCCTTATCCACTGGAGCACCCTACCAGTTACTCCTGCCTGTTTCTCCAGCTTATGCATCAGCCTTTTAAGGGGTACTGTGTCAAAGGCTTTCCGACAGTCCAAAAAAATGCAGTCCACCCATCCTTCTCTTTCTTTCTTAATCTTTGTCACCTAATCATATTCCTGTCTGGGTCTTCTGTCGTTCAGTGGGGGGGGGTTATATATGACTACTACTATAATTTTCTGTCCTCCAGTTACTATGGTGCCTGATATGTAGTCACTGAAACCTTCACAGTTCTGATTTACCACCTCTTCAAAATTCCAACCTTTTCTTATCAGCAAAGCTACATCACCTCCTCCTCTCCCTTCTCTCTCTTTCCTCACTACATAGTAGCCCTGTGGAAACACTGCGTTTGTTATGGTTTTCGTTAGCTTTATTTCTGTGAGTGCTATTATGTCTGGGTTTTCTTCTAGTGCCCATTCTCCGAGTTCACTTGTTTTATTTGTAATTCCATCTATGTTAGTGTACATTGCCGTGAAGCTCACTTTCTTCTGTTCATTTTCTAGTCCTCTTCTTGGCGAGCATTCTGCTGGTGGGAAAAGCTGTTCCCTGGGTGAGAAAATCTGTGAGGTGGTTTGCAGGGTCTCAGAGGATTTTGGGGAGGGGGGTGGGGGTGCAAGGGAAGGGGGGACAGGTAGGGTGTGGGTTAGGGAGATAGGGAGATAGGGAGGATACAGGGTGAGGGGGAGGAGGGATAGGGAAGGTATGGGATGAAGGGGGAGGGGGGACAGGGGGGAAGGCGGGAGGGGGGGGACATGGTGGGAATAAGGGAGGGGTGATAGGGTCAGAATGGGGTGGGGTGGGGAAGGGAGGGTTAGGTGAGCATTTGGGTGGTGGCAGGTAGGGTGAGAGGAAGGGAGGGTTTCTATGCAGAGGGGAGTGGTGGTGTTGCCCTCCCCTCTGGTGTTGCTGGGATGCTGTTGTAGGTTCCCCTCTTATCTCTGGGACTATTGTGTTGGGGGCTGCGATTTCCTGGTTTACTCCTCTCTCCCTGCGCGTCCTCCTTGCCTCTGCTGCCCTGGCTCTCTCTTCCTTCGTCCTGTCCCTCTGCAGGAATACTTTCTTGTATTCCTCCACATACTGCAGATGACTCCTCCTTTCTAAAGTAACCTCTTTGGTGGCCTCGTTTGTAAACACCACCTTCACCAGTCGGTTTCTGTCTTTGTTGTACCAGCCCAACCTGAAAACCTTCTCAATGTTTTTTTTCAGCCCCTTCTATCTGTAACCCCTTCAGTAGCCCATGTACTGCCTCTCTATCCTTACTATTCCATTCCTGCCTATTGGATCCTTCCTGTTCTTTGATGCCTACAACTATCACTGATCTTTTTCTCTCCAGCAGCTGACTGGTGCACCTTGCTGCTTTCTGTGAGGTAGCTGCTTGCATGGCTACCTCCCTCACTGTGTCCATTGCTTCTGAGTTCTTTCTCAGTCTTTCCGCAAATGTTTCAGGTACAGAGGCATTTCCTTCCAGTGTAACATTCCCACCTTCCCTTTGGATGATAATCTGATGCTCGGCCTCTTTATTTTTCTCTGTGAGGGATTTGATATCCTCCCTTGCTGATGTCAGCTCACTTTGCAGGTTGTTAATTGTAATCCTCATTTCATGCATCTCCCTCCTGAATTCCTCCAGAATTTGGGTTAACACTTCCTTCATTTGGTCATTTTGACTATTCCCTGTGTCCCTGTTGCGTTCTCCTGCCATTTTGTCACTTTCCCTGATATGTTTTGATAGGGTTCGGCAGGGGGGTGCAGGGAGGGGGGGCAGAGAGAGAGAGAGAGAGAGAGAGAGAGAGAGAGAGAGAGAGAGAGAGCAAGAAGAGACAGAGCAGAGAGAGAGAGAGAGAGAGAGAGAGAGCAGAGAGAGAGAGAGAGAGAGAGAGAGAGAGAGAGAGAGAGAGAGAGAGAGAGAGAGAGAGAGAGAGAGAGAGAGAGAGAGAGAGAGAGAGAGAGAGAGAGAGAGAGAGAGAGAGAGAGAGAGAGAGAGAGAGAGAGAGAGAGAGAGAGAGAGAGAGAACAGAACAGAGAGGACGAGAGAGAGAGGGGGGGGGGGGTGGGGGGGAGGAGGGAGATTGTATGGGAGGGGGCAGAGATGGTCACTTCAGGTCAGGTGGTCAGGTGGTGGGTGAGGGAGATGGAGGGGGGTCCGACTGTGTGAGTGGGTTTTGGGGAAGAGGGGGATATCTGGTATGCTACAGAAGAAGAGAGAAAAAGGGGGGGGGGATAATGTGTGTGTGTGTGTGTGTGTGTACTCACCTAGTTGTGCTTGCGGGGATTGAGCTCTGGCTCTTTGGTCCCGCCTCTCAACCGTCAATCAACAGGTGTACAGGTTCCTGAGCCTATTGGGCTCTATCATATCTACACTTGAAACTGTGTATGGAGTCAGCCTCCACCACATTGCTTCCTAATGCATTCCATTTGTCAACCACTCTGACACTAAAAACGTTCTTTCTAATATCGCTGTGGCTCATTTGGGCACTCAGTTTCCACCTGTGTCCCCTAGTGCGTGTGCCCCTTGTGTTAAATAGCCTGTCTTTATCAACCCTGTCGATTCCCCTGAGAATCTTGAATGTGGTGATGATGTCCCCCCTAACTCTTCTGTCTTCCAATGAAGTGAGGTTCAATTCCCGTAGTCTCTCCTCGTAGCTCATACCTCTCAGCTCGGGTACTAGTCTGGTGGCAAACCTTTGAACCTTTTCCAGTTTAGTCTTATGCTTGACTAGATATGGACTCCATGCTGGAGCCGCATACTCCAGGATTGGTCTGACATATGTGGTACATAATGTTCTGAAAGATTCCTTACACAAGTTTCTAAAGGCCGTTCTTATGTTAGCCAACCTGGCATATGCTGCTGATGTCATCCTCTTGATATCCTGATGTGTGTACTCACCTAGTTGTACTCACCTAGTTGTGCTTGCGGGGGTTGAGCTCTGGCTCTTTGGTCCCGCCTCTCAACCGTCAATCAACTGTGTGTGTGTGTGTGTGTGTGTGTGTGTGTGTACGTGTAGTTAGTGGTAGGGGGGAGTGGGGGGGAAGGTGTGTTGGGAGAGTGAGATGGGGGTTAAGAGGAGGTGGGTGAGGTGTTGTCTTCAGATTTCGGCTAGGGGATTAGTGGCTTATCTGGGTTTCCAGTGAGCTCACAGTTGCTTTCCTTGTTACCTGACTACCACTTATGATTGTATTAATGAATGGAATGCAATAATATCTATGATATGATGTTATATAAACCTTGCACACTGTTGGAGACTTATGAGAGACACTTACCAGCCAGCCCCCCGCAAGCACTCTAGGTGAATACACGGAGTGTTGTCATAATCCTGTGAGGTCTTTAGGTCTCCACTTGCTTCCCTGCTGATGCGACTGATGCTGCCTCAAGAAGTCTATCTTCACTAGCTATCTTTAAATTCACTAAGATATTTCACCACGAGATGTGATCAATGTGTTGCATTACAATGCCACTGTTCGATTTACACTGTCCTGATTCTCACTGCACAGTGCACCCGCTCCCTTGACCCCTATTATTCCCTCGGTATGCACGGACCACTGACCCAACACGTCTGCTCCCTATCAAGGCTGACCCAGACTGTGTGTGTGTGTGTGTGTGTGTTTGTTTGTGATCCCCACCACCTCACATCACCTTAACACTCATGGAGCTGGTTAAAAGATAAATATCCTGTCAAATCTTAAATCCTCTCATCCAGCAGTTCCTCTGCCCCTCCCCATAACCCATACGGAACCTCTGTTCACTGGCTAAACGATTATTTTACTCTCCACCATCGTTCACAGAGCATGCAAACTGTCCAATCTCCGCTTCTCTGGGTAACACACACTCTCTTCACCAGAGCCATCGCTGCTATGACCTCTCACCTGCGTTAGTACAAATATCTTGACAATAGTCTGTCAGTCAGTCAATCAGTCAATCAGGCTGTCAGTCAATTAGTCAGTCAATCAGTTATTCAGTCATTCAGACAGTCAGTTAGTCAACCAGTCTCATTCCTCAGATCTTGTTTTGAGTGTAACCGAATCTAATTTATGTTCAACACTTGAATAAGAATAAGAATATCATCAAGCCATACACACAGAGAGTGAGCGATGAGGATATTCATATATTTATATATTTATATGTATTTGCTTGGAGCAAAAGAAAGAGAAGTATCTACTCTCCTGATATTATCATTTAGAATTCTGGAAGTTTAACAGAGAGGTTGTTCATCACACTATAACACACTATACATTCTACCATAATGTGCGTATATTTAGTTAAATAAAAAACTCAGTTTATCTGCAATAATAATAATAATAATAATAATAATGATAATAATAATAATAATAATATTCTTAGCATATTTTCGAAGTTTGTCGGTCTGTCTATCACACACGCACTCGTGCGTGCGTGATAGACAGTGCACGTGCGCGCACGCACGCATACACACACACATACACACACACACACACACACACACACACACACACACACACACACACACACACACACACACACACACACACACATAAACACAAAATGAATGCATGATTCATTTTGGGTTTTATTTTCTCTCTCATAAAAAAGGAACCTTCTACCCAATATACACTCCCAATTTTTTTCACTGAACGATCCTTTTGACATTTGTTTTCAATTTTGTTTTCAATTTTTTCTCCCTGCACTCTGCCACATTATGTAATTTCTTTCATTCGTTTGCAACATTTGCAACATTCTTCATGATGCAACATTTATCATCATCATCATCTGGATAGACCATGGCCGTGTAACACCCCCATGCAACAATGTGGCACAAATTACCACGCACGGTCGTAGTCCTCTTTTCTCCTACTGGTGTTAGATTAATTGTACCGCTCTCTCCAGTCATTACCGTGGACCGCCTCATCGTTATCAAGTTCCCCTTCGGCGTGAGGCGGAAGGAAGGCAGTGTTATCAGGATGGTGATGGCAGGGGTGTGGCTGGTGGTGGGTCTCCTGGCTGCCCTTCCTCTCACTCGCCTCCAGTACTTCAGCAACTTCTACGGTCGCTCGGGAGTGTGTCTGGCGCTGCACATCACCAACGAGAAGCCCAGCGGCTGGGAGTACGCCGTTGTCGTATTCCTCGGTTAGTCTTGACTTCTTGTGTCTATACATCCGGCTGTGTGGCCAGATTATGTTCCCGTCGTATTGGTATTGTAAACCCACACACAGCTGGGCGGGGTATTGCAAACACAGTGTTGGCCACAGGCTGGGTGGGTATTGCAGTGTTGGCCACTGTCTAGGCGGGTTATCACAGTGTTGGCCACAGTCTGGGCGGGTATCACAGTGTTGGCCACAGTCTGGGCGGGTATCACAGTGTTGGCCACAGTCTGGGCGGGTATCACAGTGTTGGCCATAGTCTGGGCGGGTATCACAGTGTTGGCCACAGTCTGGGCGGGTATCACAGTGTTGGCCACAGTCTGGGCGGGTATCACAGTGTTGGCCACAGTCTGGGCGGGTATCACAGTGTTGGCCACAGTCTGGGCGGGTATCACAGTGTTGGCCATAGTCTGGGCGGGTATTTTAAACAAGTGGCTTTTTATTAGGGCTCTTAAGTCTAAACATTTCTGCATAAATATTTGAAATAAGGAATATAACGCATCTAGAATGTTAGTAACACAAGAAATATTATATAGAAAATTAAGCAGAGACCATGACAAGGATTCGAACCTGCACAGTGTGTGCTACCACGGATACGCCCTAAACAACTGTGATAGGAGACTGAGGGTGAGTGTGAGGGAGTGAGGAGGAAATGTGAGGGAGTTAGGGTGAGTGTGAGGGAGTGAGGTGGAAGTGTGAGGGTGAGTGAGGGGGAGTGTGAGGGAGTGAGGGCGAGTGTGAGGGAGTGAGGTGGCAGTGTGAGGGAGTGAGGGGTGAGTGTGAGGGAGTGAGGGGGAGTGTGAGGGAATGAGGGTGAGGGGGAAGTGTGAGGGAGTGAGGGTGAGTGTGAGGGAGTAAGAGTGAGTGTAAGGGAGTAAGGGGGAGTGTGAGGGAATGAGGGTGATGTGAGGGAGTGTGAGGGAGTGAGGGGTGAGTGTGATGAAGTGAGGGGGAGTGTGAGGGAGTGAGGGTGAGTGTGAGGGGGTGAGGGCGGAGTGTGAAGGAGTGAGGGGAAGTATGAGGGAGTGAGGGCGGAGTGTGAAGGAGTAAGGGGGAGTGTGAGGGAGAAAGAGGATGAGTTAGTGTGAATGTGAGTGTGAGGGAGTGAGGGTTAGCGTGAGGGAGAGAAGGGGGAGTGTGAGAGAGTGAGGGTGATTGTGAGGAAGTGAGGGGAGGAGTGTGAGGGAGTAAGGATGAGTTTGAGGGAGAGAGGCCGGAGTGTGATGGAGTGAGAGGGAGTGTGAGGGAGGGGTTAAATGTGAGGGAATAAAGGGGAATGTGAGGGAGTGAGGGTGAGCGTGAGGAAGTGAGGGGGAGTGTGAGGGTGAGTGAGGGGTGAGTGTGAGGGGGGGTGTGAGGGTGAGTGTGGGGAAGTGAGGGTGAGTGCGTGAGGGTGAGTGAGGGAGTGATGGGTGAGTATGAGGGGGGAGTGTGAGGCGTTGAGTGTGAGGGAGTGAGAGAGAGTGTGAGGGAGTGAGGATGAGTTTGAGGGCGAAGTGTGAGAGGCTGAGTGTGAGGGAGTAAGAGGAAATGTGAGAGGAGTGAGGGTGAGTGTGAGGGAGTGAGGGAGGAGTGTGAAGGAGTGTGAGGGAGTGAGAGGGTGAGTTAGTTTGAGGTTGAGTGTGAGGGAGTGAGAGGTGAGTGTGACAGAGTGAGGGTTAGTGTGAGGGAGTGACGGGAGAGTGTGAGGGAGTGAGGGTCAGGGTGAGGGAGTGAGGGGGGGTGTGGGGGGGTAGTGTGAGGGAGTGAGGGGGAGTGTGAGGGAGTGAGGTTGAGTGTGAGGGAGTGAGGGGAAGTGTGAGGATCAGTGTGAGGGAGTGAGGGCAGAGTGTGAATGAGTGTGATGGAGTGAAAGGGTAAGTTAGTGTGAGGTTAAGTGTGAGGGAGTGAGAGGTGAGTGTGACAGAGTGAGGGTTAGTGTGAGGGAGAGAAGGGGGAGTGTGAGGGAGTGAGGGTCAGGGTGAGGAAGTGAGGGGGTGTGTTTTTGGGGGGTAGTGTGAGGGAGTGAGGTTGAGTGTGAGGGAGAGAGGGGAAGTATGAGGGAGTGAAGGTTAGTGTGAGGGAGAGAAGGGTGAGTGTGAGGGAGTGAGAGTGAGTGTGAGGGTGAGTAAGGGAGTGAGGGTGAGTGTGAGGAAGTGAGGGGGAGTAAGGGAGTGAGGGTGAGTGTGAGTGGGGGGGGAATGTGAGGGTGAGTGTGATGGAGCGAGGGGGAGTGAGAGTAAGTGTGAGGGAGTTAGGGGGGGAATGTCAGGAAACGAGGGGAGAGTGTGAGGGAGTGAGGGGAGAGTGTGAGGGGGTAAGGGGGAGTGTGAGGGAGTGAGGAGGAGTGTGGGGGAGTGAGGGGGAAGTGTAAACATCACATGAGAACTGGTGAGGTGCTCCTTGCAAGCGGGAAACTTTTCAGAGTATATGTTGGTATGTTGTTTAATTACAAGGAGGAGTACCCGGCGGTACCCGGGGTAGTCCCTCTCTCCACCCACCCCCCTCTTCCCTCTCATCTTTCCCCTCCTCCTGCCCCACATGTCCCTACCCACCCTCCTCATCTCTCCAAGCTCGGACAGAGATGGCTTCTCTAACTGTTTTGTTGAAGGCGACATAAAAAGAAAGGTGAAACGCCATACAGCGTCTGAAGAGTCAACCAACACAACACTTGCCCCCCCCCCCCCCCCCTATTACACTGTTTTACAGGAACTTCTTTTCGACGGCTCATAACGCGGAGAAAATGGTCGTGAAAGATATTATTGATAGGAACGTTATCCCTACAGACAAAAATAAAAAAATACAATTGACAACTTCTACAAAAACCAAAAGACGGCCAACCTACTCATAAAAAACTCCCCAGACACCAAACAGAACGCCCTGAAAGAAACCAACGTCGTCTATGCCTTCACATGCCCGCTTGGAGACTCTAAGCCCCAAAGAACTCAGAATATAGGCAAGACAACAACGTTTCTTTCTAGGCGATTAACTATGCACAAACAACAGGGCTCCATCAAGGAACATATAATCTCTTCTCACAACCAGACCGTCACCAGAGAAATGTAACGACAGAACGACATCACATGAGAACTGGTGAGGTGCTCCTTGCAAGCGGGAAACTTTTCAGAGTATATGTTGGTATGTTGTTTAATTACAAGGAGGAGTACCCGGCGGTACCCAACACAGAAATCATCGATAAATACAGAGATAGAAGGAGACTCAACATCTGCGAGGCACTACAAATCAAAAAGTCAACACCAGCAATCAACAACCAATTAATGCACAACTATATTCTACCCACTTCAAGACCCCGAACAACATAGAAGCAGCAAGAGGAAGTATGGGCCAATAGGCCTTCTGCAGTTACTTCCATTCTTATGTTTTTCATACCCAATTTATACCCATTGTTTTCGTGTTTTGTATATAGTTACATCACATACATATGTTGTATAATTGATTTTTTTTTTTTTTTTTTTTTTACATGCAAGCATGCAAGATAAAGACAATAAATACAATAAAATATCAGAGAAAACAAAAACAAAATACAGAAGCTACCGGCCAGAAGGACCGACAGCACAGGACAATAATTAGCAAAAATGGAGGAACAGCATACATCAAGACAAATTAAAGAACAAAAACAATAACAAACAAGCAAATAATGTAAGCAAATAAACAAAACAAACAAACACCGGCCAGAAGGACCGACAACAAAACACATCAAAATTTAGAAAATGAAACATAACACAAGACAATGCACACACAAACAAATCATAAATATAAACAAAGGGAAAATTAAAAAGAAAACACAATACAACAAGGTAATACATGAAGAGAATACACACTCTGCAAAACACCGGCCAATCAGCGGACATACTTGCCCGGGAACAAAGCCCGGGGGAAACGCACATTGAACGCCTCCCAACGTAACCACCCCCAAGGGTCTCGTACACCCACCGGGGACGCCATGTCATCCGGAACCCTAGCTACAAACACTCGCAAGCAGGGGACCCAAATGGTATCACTCCTGACGCGAGTAACTGCCACAATCCCCCACATCAAGGGAACACCCCCACCATGAAATTCCCCCGGCTCGTCATTCAGCAGTAACTCAGCAATCGCCGACCAGTGACTCGGTGGCATCACCGACGCCGGCAACACGTCCCCCAGGTCCCCAACACACACCCTCACAAGAGGGGGCTGGACATAGGACACCACCACCGGGGCACCAGCGGCCACGGGCACACCACCAGACGACTGCAGGGAACCAGGGCGGCGCGCATCCTTCCGTAATGTCACAACCAGGCCACGCCCAGCACCAGCAACCACACCATCCCTGGGAGCGGGAGCCACCACCTCCCACTGCGGAGAATCCCCAGGCGGAGAAGGAACGGAAGGCACCCCCGAGACCTGGGCACCAGCATCAGCAGGCACATGAACCTCTGCCACCACCAACCGTGGAGACAGCGACACATCCGGTTCCACACCGTCAACTCCCAAGGACCCACAGTCACCGAATTCCCCAACATCGGCCCAGGCAGACGACGAACGCCTGGAACGCTTGGGCTCCGGCCGGAGATCGTCAGAGCCGGAAGCGGACCCAAAAACACGGGTCCCACCAGCTGGACGAACCGACGCCCGACGCAGAACGGCAGCAGCCTCCACCACAGGGGGAACTGGCCCACACACAGCAGGAGGCTCCGCAGCCACCCCAGCACCCAGCACATCCGGGACCCGAGGCGAGAACACAGGGCCAGGCGCAGCAGCCGAAGACGAGGGAGAAGGCGGCGGCGCGTCACAATGATCACTAGGAAGGCCTTCAGGAGCAGCGGAGACAGTGACAGGAGCACGTAGACCATCCGATGGCACTGCAAGACCCGGAGGAGAGTCTGTAACAACCGGAGGAACGTCCGGCGACGTAGGGGGAGCCGCATCCGCTAACTGAACGCTCACCTCTTCATCCCCGGAGACCTCCTCCAGAGGGAGCGGTGGGAAATCTTCTTCCCGGAACAAGTTGACTGGAGCAACCGGATCCGCAGTGCATCCGGCAGCCTGATGCCCCAACATGCCACACCGGAAACAAGTACGGGGTTGCCGGGCATAATACACCCGCACGTAGTACCCTAAAAGTCGGACAGAGGATGGAATGTCCGACCTCAGGCGCATCCCGAGGGTACGAATGTTCGTCTTCAACCCCGCATATTTTCCAGAAGACAGCTTGTGCATCCTCACACTGACGACGGAGCCAAATCTCTGGAAGAAACGCCGGAGAAGGGACTCAGGGAATTCCATGGGGGCCCCATGGACGCTCACATACGTCACGGCACCACTCCGATCAGATATGGCCACTGATCCAGTGCCATCCAACAACTTCAAGGTACGGCCCTCGGACCGCCGGAGAAATCCACGGTACACCTCCTCACCCACAAACTTGATAATCACTCGGCGAGCAGTCACCAGCTCAACCCCGTAGACCTCCTCGACCGGTACATGTAGCACCTCACACATGACCTGCTCAATGAGAGGATACCCTGCACGGCAGGTAAACTCCAAACCCACGGAGTTTACCCTCTCAACAGCGGGAAGATGGCCGCTCATCGTAAAAGCGCCACGTCAACACCAGGCAGGGACAGCAGGGAGGGTAGAGACACCCACCCCCTGCTGGCAAAAACTGCAACCTCCCCAAACTGCCGGAGGGGTCAGACGACACGTCTGCACCCTACGGCAGCTCAGGTGGGACTCTGGGACATTCTACAATATAATGTTCAAGGGAGTGCATGTTTTCTTTTTCACAAAGTTGACACATTGTTTACTCGACATCTGGGTTTTGAGAAAGCGGCCAGATACGTCTATATCCCAGGCGTATTCTGGCAACTATAACATCATTTTGCCGAGTTCTTGCTCTATTAGTCCCATATGTGAATGGGACATATGGGGATAGATATCCTCACGATATCTATCATAATATTTAATGCTACAACTTTCAGGTCTTTGTGAAATAGTTAGGTCGGTGAGATTTTCATTAGATATTTGTTTAAGTATTCTCTTTGTCACTGCTAATGAAACACCCATATCAATTTCTACCACTGGTTTTCATCAGGCTGTCTTGGCAAACATATCAGCAGTGTCATGCCTTGAGATGCCAACATGTGATGGTATCCATCGGAATTTTATTTCAAATCTGTTTTCTTTAGCAGCAAAATCATTCATTCGAATATCACTGACTATTTTCTGGGTGTCACTACTGTGTGAGTTCAATGCCAGGAGTGCACTCTGCGAGTCACAGTATATAAGTCCACTGCCTTTGTCTTTTAAAAATTCAGTGGCAAGGTATATGCCTGCAAGTTCGGTTTGAGTTGTACTTGCCCAATCATTGATGCGCTTCATTGCTATATGTACGAGAAAAGATTGTTCAAATATATTTGATGCGCATCCGGTACATCATCTACCTTCTTCTACAGAACCGTCGGTATAGCACTGATACACATCGTTACCCACACCCTTAGTACTTTCAGTGATGCTTTTCAGTGTTAATTGCTTTAATAATGGACTATTGTCTATGGTCCATTTAATAATGAACCATTTAATAATGGTGTCACTTGATAATGGTACAGAACAGAACAAATCGTCATCGTCTCCTCATCGACTGATGTGTAGTTTGATCATCATATCTTCAACCAGGTCATTGTGACTCATCATCTGCTTATTACCCACTGTTTCGTGATCTATTTTGATGATATTAATACAATGCGAGTCAAGGAATTAAGGGAATTTATCTTGTTCGTGTATAGATGTGTTTGAGATATGTTGTCAATTCTCTGCCTCATATGTATTGTTTGTAATACACCAAGAGATGTTTTCAGCATAGATCTATTCCCAACAAAAATATAACCTTTAAAATCCCTCGGTAAGGGATTCACCCCACCTCTCTGAGCTAGAGAGTATGAGGGAGAATTTAATCCCATCTCTGTGGCGGTAATGGTGATGGCGTCCGTCAGGGCTGGTGTCTGAGAAGCCCTGAACATACACCATCCCTCCCAGGGTGATGTTGATGAAAATGGAGAAAAAATATATAATGTGTTAAGTATGTATTGAATTATTGGTCGTGGATTATCATTTCCTGTCTTTTACAGTTGTGAACTTGGTGTCGTTTGGAGTGATGGCCGTGAGCTACGTGCTGATGTACGTGGCTGCCCGGGACACGCACTCTGCGGCACGCACGGACACGGACGCCCGTAACGGCCACGGCGCCATGGCCAAGAGGATGTCACTGATTGTGGCTACGGACGCCGCCTGCTGGCTCCCTATAATCTTCCTAGGCATCGCCTCCCTGTGTGGTGTCACCATCCCTCCCAGGGTAATGGTCCCCCCTCCCTGTATGGTGTCACCATCCCTCCCAGGGTAATGGTCCCCCTCCCTGTATGGTGTCACCATCCCTCCCAGGGTAATGGTCCCCCCTCCCTGTATGGTGTCACCATCCCTCCCAGGGTAATGTTCCCCCCTCCCTGTATGGTGTCACCATCCCTCCCAGGGTAATGGTCCCCCCTCCCTGTATGGTGTCACCATCCCTCCCAGGGTAATGTTCCCCCCTCCCTGTATGGTGTCACCATCCCTCCCAGGGTAATGGTCCCCCCTCCCTGTATGGTGTCACCATCCCTCCCAGGGTAATGTTCCCCCCCTCCCTGTATGGTGTCACCATCCCTCCCAGGGTAATGTTCCCCCCCTCCCTGTATGGTGTCACCATCCCTCCCAGGGTAATGGTCCCCCCTCATTATATGGTGTCACCATCCCTCCCAGGGTAATGGTCCCTCTCCCTGTGTTTTGTCACCATCCCTCTCACTTTGGCTGGACGGTAAAGCGACATTATAGCTTCATGCAAGTCGGTGTTCGATCCCCAACCGTTCAAGTGGTTTTGGCACCATTCCATCCTCCCGTCCTATCCCAAATACTTATCCTGACCCCTTCCAAGTGCTACATAATCGTAATGGCTTGGCGCTTTCTCCTGATAGTTCCCGTCTTTTCATACGTGCGTGTGCATGTATATTCATGTTTGGCTGAGCGTTGGTGTTTGTTCATGTTTGCGTGAGTGTGCGTGTTGGTTTATGTTTGCATGAATGAGCATGCATCTTCATGTTTGCGTGAGTGTGCATGCGTGTTTATGTTTGCGTGAGTGTGCATGCGTGTTTATGTTTACGTGAGTGTGCATGAGTGTTTATGTTTGCATGAGTGTGCATGAGTGTTAATGTTTGCGTGAGTGTTCATGCGTGTTGATGTTTGCGTGAGTGTGAATGTTATTTCATGTTTGCATGAGTGTACATGCTGGTTCATGTTTGCGTGAGTGTGCATGCATCTTCATGTTTGCGTGGGTGCATGCATGTTCATGTTTGCGTGAGAGTACATGCATGTTCATGTTTGCGTGAATGTGCATGCTTGTTCATGTTTGAGTGAGTGTGCATGTGTTTTCATGTTTGCGTGAATGTGCATGCTATTTCATGTTTGCGTGAGTGTTCATGCGTGTTGATGTTTGCGTGAGTGTGAATGTTATTTCATGTTTGCTGAGTGTACATGCTGGTTCATGTTTGCGTGAGTGTGCATGCATCTTCATGTCTGCGTGGGTGCATGCATGTTCATGTTTGCGTGAGAGTACATGCATGTTCATGTTTGCGTGAATGTGCATGCTTGTTCATGTTTGAGTGAGTGTGCATGTGTTTTCATGTTTGCGTGAATGTGCATGCTATTTCATGTTTGCGTGAGTGTGCATGCCTGTTCATGTTTGCGTGAGTGTGCATGCTTGTGCATGTTTGCGTGAGTGTGCACGCTTTTTCATGTTTGCGTGAGTGTGCAGGCGTATTCAAATTTGCGGGAGTGAGCATGCCTGTTAATGCTTGCATGAGCCTGCGTGTTTGTTCCTGTTTGCGTGAACGTGCGTGTTTGTCCATGTTTGCGTGAGTGAGCATGCGTGTTTATGTTTGCGTGAGTGTGCATGCCTGTTCATGTTTGCGTAAGTGAGCATGTATGTTCAGGTTTGCGTGAATGTGCATGAGTGTTCATGTTTGCGTGAATGAGCATGCGTGTTTATGTTTGCATGAGTATGTATGCCTATTCATGTTTGCAAGAGTGTGCATACGTGTTCATGTTGCGCGAGTGTGTATGCGTGTTCATGTTTGCGTGAGTGAGCATCGTGTTCATGTTTGCGTGAGTGTGCATGCTTGTTCAAGTTTTCGTGAGTATGCATGCGCGTTCATGTTTGCGTGAGCGTGCGTGTTGGTTCATGTTTGCACGAGTGTGCATGCATGTTCGTGTTTGCGTTAGCGTGCGGGTTTGTTCATGTTTGCGTGAGTGAACACGTGTGTTCATGTTTGCGTGAGTGAGCAAGCGTGTTCATGTTTGCATGAATGAACATGCGTGTTCATGTTTGCATGAGTGTACATGTGTGTTGATGTTAGCGTGAGTGTGAATGTTATTTCATGCTTGCGTGAGTGTACATGCTTCTTCATGTTTGCATGTGTGTGCATGCGTGTTCAAGTTTGCGTGAGTGTGCATGTGTGTTCATGTTTGCGTGTGTGCATGCGTGTTCCTTTTTGCGGGTGTGCGTGCGTGTTCATGTTTGCAAGAGTGTACATGTTTGTTCATGTTGCGCGAGTGTGTATGCGTGTTCATGTTTGCGTGAGTCTGCATGCGCATTCCTGTTTGCGTGAGCGTGCGTGTTGGTTCATATTTGCCAGAGTGTGCATGCGTGTTCATGTTTGCGTTAGCGTGTATGTTAGTTCAGGTTTGCGTGAGTGTGCTTACCTGTTCATGTTTTCGTGAGTGAGCACGTGTACTCACCTACTTGTACTCACTTATTTGTGCTTGCAGGATCGAGCTTTGGCTCTTGGATCCCGCCATTCCAGCCATCGGTTGTTTACAGCAATGACTCCTGTCCCATTTCCCTATCATACCTAATTTTAAAAGTATGAATAGAGTTTGTTTCCACAACCTGTTTCCCAAGTGCATTCCATTTTTCCACTACTCTCATGCTAAAAGAAAACTTCCTAACATCTCTGTGACTCTTCTGAGTTTCCAGTTTCCTCCCATGTCCCCTCGTTCTGTTATTATTACGTTTGAACATTTCATCTATTCCCACTTTGTCAATTCCCCTGAGTATTTTATATGTTCCTATCATATCTCCTCTCTCTTCTTTTCTCTAGTGCCGTAAGGTTCAGTTCCCTCAGACGTTCTTCATATCCCATCCCTCGTAACTCTGGGACAAGCCTCGTCGCAAACCTCTGAACCTTTTCCAGTTTCCTTATGTGTTTCTTCAGGTGGGGGCTCCATGATGGCGCGGCATACTCTAAGACGGGTCTCACGTAGGCTGTGTAAAGCTCCCTAAAAGCCTCCTCATTTAGGTTTCTGAATGAAGTTCTAATTTTCGCCAGTATAGAGTACGCTGCTGTCGTTATCCTATTTATATGTGCCTCAGGAGTTAGATTAGGTGTCACATCCACTCCTAGATCTCTTTCTCGAATCGTTACAGGTAGGCAGTTCCCCTTCATTGTGTACTGTCCCTTTGGTCGTCTATCACCTGATCCCATTTCCATAACCTTACATTTACTGGTGTTGAACTCCAGTAGCTATTTCCCTGATCATCTCTGCAACCTGTTTAGGTCCTCTTGGAAGATCCTACAATCCTCATGTCACAACTCTTCTCATTAATTTTGCGTCATCCGCAAACATTGACATGTATGATTCCACTCCTGTAAACATATCATTTACGTAAATTAGAAAGAGGATTGTGCCCAGCACCGATCCTTGAGGTACTCCACTTGTTACTGTTCGCCAGTCCGACTTCTCGCCCCTTACCATTACCCTCTGGCTCCTTCCTATTAGGTAGTTCCTCACCCATGCTAGGGCCTTTCCGCTTACTCCTACCTGCCTCTCAAGTTTGTAAAGCAGTCTCATGTGCGGTACCGTATCAAAGGCCTTTTGGCAGTCAAGAAATATGCAGTCTGCCCAGCCTTTTCTGTCCTGCCTTATCCTTGCTACTTTGTCATAGAATTCTAAAAGATTTGTTAGGCATGATTTCTCTGTCCAGAACCCATGTTGGTGCTTGTTTACAAATCCAATGCTCTCCAGGTGCTCAATAAGTCTTAGCCTAATTATTCTTTCAAGTATTTTGCAGGGGATGCTTGTCAGTGATACGGGTCTGTAGTTAAGTGCCTCCTCCCTATTACCTTTCTTGAAAATCGGTACGACATTTGCCTCCTTCCAGCAACTGGGCAATTCTCCCGACATAAGTGACTCATTAAAGATCATTGCCAGAGGCACGCTGCGAGCCTGCGCTGCCTCTTTTAGTATCCACGGTGATACTTTGTCTGGTCCAACAGCTTTATTTGCATCCAGTGTTGTCAACTGATTCATTACCTCCTCTGCTGTCACCTCTATATCTGATAGACTTTCATCTAGGGTAATCGCTTCTAACAATGGGAGCTGCTCAGGCTCGGTTGTGAACACTCCATGGAAACTTGCATTCAGTACCTCGCAGATTTCCTTGTCGCTTTCTGTATATGCCCCTTCTGTTTTCCTCAGTCTTGTCACTTGGTCATTTACCGACATCTTCCTTCTTACATGACTATGTAGTAATTTAGGTTGCTTTTTCGCTTTGATTGGAATATCATTCTCATAATTTCTTTCCGACACTCGTCTTATGTTAATGTAATCGTTCCTAGCTCTGTTACATCTAATCTTGTTGTCCTCTGTCCTTTGTCTTCTGTACTTCCTCCACTCCCTCCTGCTTCTCACTTGTGCTTCCTGACACTCTATTAAACCATGGGTTATTATATTCCCTCCTGCTTTTTTCCTTTACTGTTGGAATAAATCTCTCTTCAGCCTCCTTGCATTTCCATATGACTTGGTTCATCATATCTTGCACTGTTTTTCCTCTAATTTCTTCCTCCCACTGCACTCCCAAACACGTGTGTTCGTGTTTGCGTGAGTGAGCATGCATGTTCATGTTTGCGTGCGTGTTCATGTTTGCGTGAGTGTGCACGCGTGTCCATGTTTGTGTAAGTGAGCATGCATGTTCATGTTTACGTGAGTGTGCATGCGTGTTCATGTTTGCATGAGTGATCATACATGTTCATATTAGCGTGAGTGTGCATGCGTGTTCATCTTTGCGTGAGTGATGATGCGAGTTCATGTTTGTGTGAGTGAGCATGCGTGTTCATGTTTGCATGAGTATGAATGGGTTTTCATGACTGAGTGAGTGTGCACGCCTGTTCATGTTTGAGTGAGTGTGTACGTGTTTTCAGGTTTGCGTGAGTATGCATGCCTGTTCATGTTTGCAAGTGTGTGCAAGCGTATTCATGTTTGCGTGGG